TATATCAGATGTCAGGAATGACTCTGGCACACTGAGGTATATCAACATGCTATAGGTGTGGATCAGCGGGCGCCTGCTGATAAAAGCATTTGCATGTAACAGATTTTATTACATACATTATGCCGACGTACGATGTATCCACTTTTTACTGTGCTGTATCTTTAACATGTGAAGATGCCAGTCTCAGCTCTGGCAGCCCTGTAACGGTGTGAAATGTATTCTTATGTTCAGCCCTTGTGGAGCAAAACATCGGGAAGGAGAGCATAATTTTAAGAGAATACGTTTTAGTGATCTAACTGCTCTCGCTTACAGCACTGAAACTGGAAATCCATTATCATTCAGAGTGTGAGATTTTACATTCAGACACCCTCGTTCTTCTTTCTGTGTCACTGCCTCGTGTATGCACACACACACTGTGAAGTTTACACCACTTAGGTATTGGCTGCTTGAGCTGAATCACACTCACAAGTGCACAGATGGGTAACAAAGGAGGGAACCAGCCGTGGACAACACAGACTGCATAAATCAATGAATCCTCTGCCGGAAGACACAACCGCTGCCTCTCTGCTTCCCTCACTTTTAATACCAAATCCTGTCTCGTTGTTTAAACTGGTCAGAGTGATTATTTATCATATCTCACAGCCACTAAAGTGGACTGAGAGGATTCCTTTCAGAATGAGATTACCCCTGTTCTTCCTCAATCTGTTTTCCTATCCATCTTTGTTTTCCTCATTGTGAGGTGTTTACTGCAGCTGTCCTAGTTTTTGCTGTCAATTTAGGACAAAGAGGGATACTCTACGTACACTGCGAGGTGCAACGCTGTATAATTTAATCACAGTTCCCTATATTTCTTTTCCAGTTCACTCACTCTCAGTGTCGAGTCCTCGAGCTCCGTGCATGGCAGAGCACAGAATACACATCGAATTAAATCCCTCAAAAGAAACTCAGCAAGCGCCACTGGTGTTGCTCTGCTTTATTAAACATTAACAGTTTTTCTCCATGTGGTGATATCAGCATGTCGAGGGAACGAATCCTACTGTTTGACCACTGTCAACTTTCCAAAACCCTGACTTTGTTTTATTTTAGCCAGGAATACATTTTCAAGCTGTGAACTGCAAACTGGCCTCTCGGTGTGATGCTACTACATTATCACCTGCAGCTCATACTCCCACCAGCATGCCCTTGAGTCCAGCTCCCGAGCTGTCACTTTTTTGCTGACCCTGTGTTCTGACTACTCTACATGCAGGCAGACATTTGAAAAACAAAAAGGTTAAATTAGGCTTTAACAGAACAAATGATCGCGAATGGACATGGAAACAATAATTAACTTTATCTGCTACAGTCCAAAATGAAACTAGATGAATGTAAATATGGAAAAGAGCAATAGCGATCTTTTATTTAATATTGCTGTTAGTGATTCTTTACATTCTACAGTTTTAAAAATATGTAGCCTATAAACGAACTAATTTTAAAAAATATATATATTTCCACAGTTAAAATGTATCCATTTGGCATGAATTAGATTCATTTACACAAATACAGGTAAGAGTGAAAGTGGCGACTTAGCTTCAGGTACTCAAAGTAGGTCTATGTATACTAATCAGTTTGTTTTTCTGCACTTTGCATTGTTGGTTAGTAGAAATAATTTGAAAAGGTGAATAGCTTTTCAATTTGTAATTCTGTAATAATAAATGCAATACAAACAATGCTACAAAAACTTTGCATGTCAATAATAAAGTGTTACTCTAATGAAATGCAAAGTATTAGATACTCAGAAATTACTGCAGAGTCGTATATTATATTACAGCATTACATCATTACAATATATTATTTACATCCTCTTAGTAATATTGATAAGCTGGTTTATACTTAATATTCGGCTTCACCTTTATTATAAAGCTTATACAGATGTTTTTTGTGTAATAATCACTCAAAAACAGCAACCTTTATTATCACACATTCTTTTTGAGTCACAAGTCACTGTATTCTATTTTAAACCATTCTGCTCCGCTCTAATAACCCTGTTCCACCAGTGCCAGCGCTCAATCTACAGCCGATTTCATGCATTTCCACTCAAAAAAGACTGGTAGCTGTGATGAAAAGCTTGTAACATCAAGGCGACACCAAACTGCCAGACCCAACCACTCACAGTTGCTCTGGGAAAGACTACCATAAGAAATTTACCAATGATTGGCACATGCACCACATAGTAACACTACATAACAACTGGTATTAAAAACTAGCAAAAATGTGGGTTGTTTGTCAAAAGGCAGAAAAGCAAAACTGGCTTTGCAGCATTAGTGGATAGAAGGTGCAACAATTAGCCTAAAATAAAACAGCCAAACAAAAAAAGGAAGAAATTTCTTATCTTGCCCAAAATAAAATGAATCAATAAATGTGTCATTAATGTTAATCTTTTCCTTCCATCAACCTTTTCATGAGAGAATAGAGATAAAGCTCTGCACTCGTTTTAAATGTTTACAGTTTTGTTGTTGTTGTTCTTTTTACCAGCAAATGTGCTACTTTTAAATTCCACTACACCACTTTTCAGGATACACTGTATGTCATATGAGCTTTTATCATGTTATTTTACTCAAAGGAGCAAAGAAAAGCGTCTGGACTTCTTTAAGTTGCTTGAAGACGTTTCACCTCTCATCCGAGAAGCTTCTTCAGTTCTAAGGTCAAATGGCGGAGAGTCCCAGATATAAACCCAGTGGGAGTATCCCCCCACAGAGGGACAAAAGGACCCCCTGATGATCCTCTAATCGCCTGAGCCAAGGTGTGAAACTGGGTGTGGGTCCCAATCAGCCAGAGTTTCGGGTGTGTTCATTGTGAAACCTGGCCCCACCTTATCATGCGAATTCCTGAGGTCAGATGGCCCAGGATGTGAGTGGGCGTTAAGGCGTCTGGGGAGGGATCTCAAAACTGGATTATAGATGACAGAGAGTTGGTGTCGTAAACCACCGCCTCTGTTCAAAGATGGTCGCTCACAGTGGACATAGATGGCTTCCTTCACTCCTCTTTCAAACCATCTGTCCTCTCTGTCCAAAATGTGAACATTGGCATCCTCAAAAGAGTGTCCTTTATCCTTAAGATGCAGATGGACTGCTGAGTCTTGTCCTGTGGAGGTGGCTCTTCTGTGTTGTGCCATGCGCTTGTGAAGTGGCTGTTTGGTCTCTCCAATGTAGAGGTCTGGGCATTCCTCGCTGCACTGTACAGCATACACCACATTGTTAAGTCTGTGTTTTGGCGTTTTGTCTTTCGGGTGAACAAGTTTCTGTCTGAGCGTGTTGCTGGGTCTGAAATGCACCGGAATGTCATGCTTGGAGAAAACTCTCCTGAGTTTTTCTGATACACCGGCTACATAGGGGATGGCAATGTTGTTGCGTCTGTCCTTCTTATCCTCCCTCGCTGGTGTCTGATCAGACACAGTTGAAGATCAGACACACCCAGTTTCACACCTTGGCTCAGGCGATTAGAGGATCATCAGGGGGTCCTTTTGCCCCTCTGTGGCGGGATACTCCCACTAGGTTTATATCTGGGACTCTCCACCATTTGACCTTTGAACTGAAGAAGCTTCTCGGATGAGAGGTGAAACGTCTTCAAGTAACTTAAAGAAGTCCAGACGCTTTTCTTTGCAAGCTCCTTTGACTACGATGACCTGGATGACTGAGAACCTTCACAGACATCATGTTATTTTACACTTTTCCGTTTCCACTGTGAATGGAGGCACTCATAAAAATAACAAGATTGGCATTGGTGCCTTAGAGAGTAGAGGAATTGTTTCTCCGCTGCAGTGTCAGCAGTTTGAGCCCTGGTCCTGGCCTCTGTGGTTATTGACTTCCTGTAATTTCCGGCATTTAATCACCCCCCTGGATAAACCATCAAAGTAATCAACAGTATATTTACCTTACAAATTCTTACTTTAATCCATTTTCTCACTTAAGTGCATAAAGGTCGTGTGCAGAAGTGGTTCTGCTAGCTTCCTGGACAACATTTATTTCATAGACTTAATCAACCTAGGTGCAGCCGAATTGATAGCTAAGCTGTTTACCCTCGAGGAAAATAGCCGCTCCCCCTCTTTGTATTTCCCTCTTTTGAAATCCAATTGTCATAAATCGATGTCTGCCTTTAAAGAAACGCAGAGAGAAAGTAGTGGAGCTTGGTAATGGCTTGGTTCTGAGTGGCTGCAGATCTAGGCCTGGCTTCCACAGCTAATTCAGTCTGTTTACTCCAGTGCTAATGCCTTTATTATTTTTGTCAGGATATCTGAAAATGACAACTGCTGAGTCACTGGATGATATATACAAAAGAAAAACACAATCACAGAGAACATTTTCCCCATCATTCAACTTTGTGCTAAGGGTTTACAAGAAAAGGAAATAACCTGGTGCCACTCAATCAGATCATTTAAAGGATGAATTGCCTCTGTACATGACATCATTATATTCTGTTTGCTGTAGCTATAGTATGCAGTCTAACCCCAGACTGCTGATCTTTACATTAAATGCACCATGTGACCACACAGGGAGTAGTGTATAATAGAAACCACTGACAATACAGCAAAAAATGTCATTTTTCCCTGACTAGCTGTAATTGAATCTACATATCTGACAACTCTGCATATCAGCCTTCAATTATTCTCAACCCCTGCCAGAGGCAACCTGTACACAATTTAATGAAGCTTAATAGAATCTAAGGGGCCTGTGTAGTCTCAAAATCTTTCTCTCATTAAGCTAACGATCCAGAGAGAGGAAGAAGGCTGAAGTAAGCTAATTTGTCACAGAGAAGGAGTATAACCTTATTTCACTACCACAAGATCTCCCATTGATGTGCACCCATAATTGCTTTGTGAAAGAGCATAAGCCCCGCATTAATTTCACATCCATTTTCCCATTAACAGGGTTCTGTGACCATCCAAATGATGCTTTTGTGACTTTGTGCGTCTGTTATCAAGCAGTTCCTACATAAATATGTATGTTTTTCTTTCCATTTCACAGAGTCGTGCTCGTGGAGAACATCCCAGAAGACATTTCCTTCTTAAACAACAGCACATCCCACCTCCCCCTCTCCATAGGGCTGTACAACCTACTGAACCAAGCTATCCGGGTCGTAGAGATAGTTTCCCCGCAGTGGCTCCTTAACTCCTCTGATAATGAATCCAGTTTCCAGCCTGCTGCCCGACAGGTAAAAATAGAGCAAATCAACAGGGACTTAATTCTGCAAGAGTAGTATTTACATTTTATGCCTGTGACGTTTTCTCTCTCTCTTTTTCTCTGTGTTAGTCTGTATAAACTGGTGAAAGACAAAGTTGGTTCCTTAAATACATTAAAGGTTCAATAAAATCAAGATCCTGATTTTAAACCTCATAAGTAAAAGGACATTTACACAGAGAAAAATGCTACTGTAAATTATATGTTATCCAAATGTGATAACATCAGATTTTATGCTTATAAGAGTTGATCAGCGAGCTTATTTTTACTACTTTACATGTACTCAGTCCGTTTTACATTTTTAAATTTAAGCAGATGGCTGTGTTTATAATCTTGTGGGTTATTGAATAATTTGACTGTTCGGCCTTTTTAAACACTTGCATTGCTAAATACATTTACTGGATACATTTTCTTTAAAAAGAAAAATTCTTTCAGAAAACAAGATGATTACAAAGAAATGTTTTCTAATATTTTTCTGTGCTTTTTGTAAAACAGAATTTGATATTCAAGTATAACAACAATAATTATATTTTAGCATTAAACATATCATTTTGATTAAAGAGATTGTGCTTACTGATAGATTAACAAAATGTCCTAAGCATAACATGTAAAGGGTGTCAACCAAAAAACTTCTGTTTTGTAGGGGTGATGATAGAATATATCTTTATTATTAAACATTGTATTTGTTCTTTGTGCAACATTTATTTAAATTTATGGGCTTTAATCTATGTTTGTGCGTCTTTCAGAAATGTTACTGATGTTATTTTGCTTTTTATCCAACTCCCATTACTCCTACAGTCACTCTGTGTTTATGCAGTTGGTGCTAATCAGCTGCTCTGATGCTCTGTTCTGTGAATCATCCTGTTGAACTGGAAGTGTAGCTTTATGCAATATCCATCCATCCATGTTCCTAACCACTTTTAGGAGGCTAGAACTTGTCCGCACTGACACTGGGTGAGAGATGGGAGTACCAGTCCATCACAGGGCTGACACACACAGGCAAACACATCTTATTTAGAATCACCACTTAACCTAGCATCAGCCATGTGTTTGGACTGTTACAGAAAGTGTGTTTGATAAACATTTACAAGTAAAACAGTAAATCAAATCGTGAAAAAGTACAATATTTCCTGCTGATAATTACACATTCATATTGGACTGGATGAATGTTATTGACCATCGTGTGTGTGTGTGTGTGTGTGTGTGTGTGTGTGTGTAGCCTGGCAAAACACATGGTTCATAAAAAATTGAATATGTCAGAATTAATGAAACCCTAAGGCTGATGGTCAGAAACGAATTGCACCTTTCATTCCCCTCAGGCCAGAGAGGAGCTAATGCTCTTTCAGTCTGCACCAACCTAAAAATTTTACAACATGTTCAATTAAAAATTTAACATGCTGTATATGAAATTTAAAATGTAATGTTCTGTAAAAGGGCAAGCTTCACTGCATGCAGGTGGAAGTGCTCTGCTTTCTTCTTCAAATTGTGAACATCTGTGTGGCTACAACAGGCATAAAGCTAATAATCCTGGAGACACAGTGTGGGTATTTACAAACCATCACTGAAAAGAATATCTGTCAGTCCTGCAAACAGGGTGGGAACCAATAGCTTATAGATTTTGCGCTAGAAAGCATTCTGTACCTGGATCCCTGGCTTGTCTCCCGTCTGTCTGGTCCGTTTGATTATATTAGTACATATTTCCTGTCTGTCTACAATGCACTAAATCCCAGAAATAAAGTTAAGTCAAAAGAAATAGATTTTTAAGAGCCATCCATTAATTTTCTTCCCCTTATCCAATTCAAGGTTGCGGTTGGGGGGTTGCATTTGGACCAGTCTGTTGTAGGGGTGACATAGATAACCATTTTTAAAAACAATCCTTAAAATTGAAAATTGGAAAATATTGCATTTATCTACCTTTTTCCACTACACTCTTGGCAAACATCTTTAAATCTCTGTGTCAGTATAGTGGTACGAGGTCACTTACACATTACAAGAGCTACTCGGCAAACAGAGCCCATGTCACGAAGCTCCCAGTGCACAGTTTTGTGCTGATGTTAATGCCAAAGTAGGTTAGGAACTCTGCAGGTATTGAGTCAGCAGAGCACTGGTGACTTTTAAACCTTACGCACCACCGATTTAACTTTACTTAGTGCCCCATTTTATGGCTCTGCTGTGTTGTTCCTAAATACTTCCACTTTGCAATAATTTCACTTACAGTTGATTGCAAATTATATGGCAGAGAAGAAATTTCACAGACTGATTTGCTGCAATTGTAGCACCCTATTATCAGTATCATACTTGAATTCAGTGAGCTCTTTAGGATAAACCCATTTTTAAGAATGTTTCTAAGGCATACTGTGTTTCTGAGAAGACCTGAATTCAAAGATTGAGAGGTGTCTTGTACTCTGGGTGGATTTCAGGTCGGTTTTAAGAAGGAAAACTTAATGAAACTGGAAATTAATCTTCATATCAAGTGTAATATATTGTTAGTTTGCTCGTTTCTAAATGACATGAGATGAATGCATGTAAATTATGTCGAACAGGTTGCTTTTTATTTTGTGTTACAGCAATAACATGCATCGTTTGTGGGTTTGTAAAATTTGTGCTTCTAAATATGCACAGAAGGTTACATGTTTTTGGATAGTTACAGTGATCAGAGGTAGTCATCACTGGAAAACCATAAGAGACATATAAATATTTTTCTAAATAAGACTCCAAAAGAAAAATAGAGATTACAGTAGCTGCCTGCAGACGAGTGCTTTGAAAAAAATGAATGCGACACAAATAGCACATTTATCACTTATGATAGTACTTGAATGTAAAAAATGTAAGCACTTAGTCTGAACTCTGTGTATCTGATTATACTGCATGGATTTCATGTAACAGTCTTGCTTTGCTGGTTTGTTTCCTCTAGGGCAGGGCTCTGCTGTCCAGCCTGCAGGGACTGAAAGCAAGAGGAATTCAGCTGAAAATCTCAACTGGAATAGCTAACTCAACTGAGCTCACTAAACTCAGTAATCACACCTAGCTCTTACTTTCATTGCTTTATATGTTATGACATAACACATAAGATGTTATGTTGTGTTTAGATCTGACTGTTCAGCCATGTGCTCCCCCTGGTCACATTTTCAGTCTTTCAGTCTCTCACCATCTTTCCTATCCCGTCTCTATTTGTATGGCTTCTGGCAGATTTGTCTTTATCCTCCTCCATGTCTCACATGTAACTCCCTTTTCTCTCCATCTCTAGATGCTGAGGTTCACTATATTAACATGGCAGCTCTGACCAAAGGCAACCTTCACTCCTCCTTCTGGGTGGTCGACAGGAAACATTTCTACATCGGCAGTGCCAGCATGGACTGGAGATCTCTGGCCACCGTACTGCCACCATACTTTACAATACCCACAGAAATACTTACAGAGACTTTGGAGAAAAATCAACCAAATTTTACTTCTGTGATTTCTGAGGCAGGATAGTAACACAAATTATCGAAATTTGGTATTGTTAATGTAAAGTTCTCGTAATGATCTATTGGATCAAACTTTACATTTCGCAAGGTATGAGCCAGTATAGCTTAAAAACAGCATTGTTGACGAAACAAGAATATTCAGATTTAATGTATTTGTAGAGTGCTGTGCAAATATTATAGGCACCAAGAGGGAAGCTAGAATGTTTTTTAATGAATACACAAATAGTTTTATTCGTCTAACTGTACACAAATTCATTCTGTTCAATTTTATTTATATTGCATCGACTCACGCCACCAGTTGCCTCAATGCAGGAATTAGAAAGAAATACTGAATCATACCAACATTTAGTGTGAAAACTCTTAAGTTCTTTTAGAACTTAAACACCTAAAACATTTTGAAAGTGCTGTATATACACTCACCAGGCACTTCATTATATACACTTTCTTAACTGTTTGTTACTGCAGCCAATCACATGGCAGCTACCCAGTGCATTTAGGCATGTAGATAAGATCAAGACAACCTGCTGAAGTTCGAGCCGCTCTGCGATGTCGATATAGAATAAGAGGAATGAAGAATCCTTCCACAGTCTTGCTGAATCTGTGCCACAAAGAACTAAAGCAACTGTTGAAGGCAAAAGGGGGTTCAACTATATCTGTGTAGATGTTTCTGTAGGTCCAAGCGTTACTAGCAAAGTGTACCTAACAGAGAACAATAGTTAGCACACAGTCAGTTTATATCTGTGTATATGTTTTTGTGAGCGCAGGAGGTGGCGTCCAAAAATAGAGAATCCAGAATCTTTCATCTGTTTTTCAAAGGTAGACAGCTCATTAAAGTGTGAGACCATTTGTTAGTGAGGGCCTTAATTTAGGAAGATGAACTGCAAGGAGCACAAGGTAACTATTCAAAAGTATTTGTCAGGTCAGCATGTTTGATGCATTCTCAGCCAGGCTTATATTGATGCTACATTGTATTTAAATTAGACCACAAAACAAACAGACTGACATTGTTCTTTTCCTTCCTTATTTCTGTAGATATCTATGAAAATAGGTTATGGACTAGATTTTTAGTCTATTGAGGAGTGCATATATTCGCGTTTTTTTTTTTTTAAAAAGTAACACATGAGTAACACATGAGCTGCAAGAGAAGAATTTATTAGAAATGCTTTACTCATGTGAACACTGCTGGGTTGTGTAGAATGACAGAAAGAAAAGGTGACTCCAAGAACTGCATGGTGAGAATCAAAAAAATGACAAGTGCCACTTTGAAATGGTACTGAGAGCAAAAAAGAAGATCAGGAACAGAAAGGCTCACTGCGACATATTTACATTCCCTGCTGTTTTTGTCAGGATAGACTAAGGCTTGGAATTGAATTAGGCATGCGGACAATATGGCCTGACGTGGAAATATCGGAGAAATGTGTGTGTGTGTGTAGATGAATGCATAAAAGTGTTAAAACAGTAAAACAGGTTAATATTAGTTGGAAGGTAAATGTTGATGGAGATGATAGGCAAAGGCTGATTCAAATAACTAAAGGCAAAAATGAAGATATACATCTTTAATTATGTGAATGCTGCCGGTTTCAATTGTTGTTTTGCTCTACAAAATGTGTTTGTTTATTTTTTTGTTTGTTTTTTAGAGGAAGGAGCTGGGTGTGTTGGTGTACAACTGCAGCTGTCTGGCTCTGGACCTCCACAAAGTGTTCAGTCTCTACTGGGGTCTCCAGTATAAAGACTTTATTCCCTCCTTCTGGTCCAAGCGCCTATTTGCTGTATCCAACAGAGACACGCCACTGAATCTCACAATCAATGGCACAAAAGCCTTGGCCTATGTTTCTGTAAGTAACATTTAAAGTATTAGTTTGCATTATAAATGAATTAATTCATTGGTTCATGTAGCAAACACACATTTTTTGGAGTCCAAAACCTCAACTTTTGGTAAATTACAATACATATTTGCTGAAATTAGACATAAATATAAGTGCGTGCAGTACACATTAGTGTAAAAGCTGCCTGCAGTGGTGGCGACAGCTTAGGAGAGGGAACGTTAATTTTTCATAGAGTCCTCTGCAGGATGCTGTGTCTTTCAGTGTCCTTATCTTCTTGGACAAGAGTGATGGTGATCCAGCAGAAAAAAAATGCTGATTCGGCTAAGCTGTCCATTTCAGTAATATTAAAATGAACACAAAAAGCACACTCAAGCACACACTCTGAGTTAATCATTCATAGGGTACAGTGCCTGTCAGCAAGGAAGTTAAAACTGAAACTTTAATCCTCTCTTATTCACACAACGAGAAACCCTGATGCTCATTTACAATGATAATAACGAGGAAAGCTCAGTCAGTTATTATGATTATAACAGCTTTAATGATCACAGTGGCAACTCTGTAGTTTACGAAGATTCCTGTGGTAATAATTATCTGTTTACACAATGCTCTTGTGATCACTGTTGTGTGTATCTTGAAAGAGGAGTACGCAACACCAACATTCCCTAATTCTCTGTTGACAGAGCTCACCGGATGTTTTCATTCCCAAACATCGCAGCAGTGATCTGGAAGCTATTGCCAGGGTCATCCAAGAAGCCAACCACTTCATATATATCTCCATTACTGATTACCTGCCCCTCATCGGCAGAAACACCAGCAGGTTAGAGCAAATATGCTGCCGCACAGTGACTTGGCAGGCATTTATCACCAGCGGCTTCAGTGCAGTGTTTAAACTGCGTATGTGCCGGACCAGCTGCATGCCTAATTCTGCGTGTATTTGTATCTGTGCCAAGGTACTGGTCGCGTATCGACAGCCTTATAAGAGAGGCTCTGATCCTGAGGAATGTACGAGTCCGTCTGCTGATAAGTTGCTCGGAAAAGACTCATCCGCTAACTTTCAACTTCATCTGGTCCCTGAGGAGTCTGTGCATGGAGCAGGCCAACTGCTCACTAGAAGCTGTAAGTTCAGGGCCAATATGCACTATTTTCATCTCTACAGATACTCTTTATCAAAGCTCACTGCATAACTGTGCATGTGTGTGTACGTGTGTGCAGAAATTCTTCAACCCCAGGGGCCAGAGGGATGTCAGTCTCGAAGGAATAAACCACAACAGGTTTATGGTTACAGACAGAGCCATTTATTTAGGTGAGCTCATCGACTAGACTTTATGACTGTGGCCTATATGTCTGTTCACTTTATGCCTATGACCTATTTTTAGTGGACCTAAAGGAATACTTCCTCTTTTGTTTTCTTTCTGACAGTGAGAATAAAAGATCAATATGATGGGGAAATTTGCCTAACACAGATGAAAAAAATATACAAGGGGAAATGACTGTACTGGCACTCTAAGGTCAAAAACACTATAATCAGATGTTCAGAGGTTAATTATATGTGTGCTTCATTTGTTTAAGCTTTATCACTAACCAGGAAAACAACCCTAAATACAAATTAAAATAATTTAGTGATAATGAAGCAACAAGCTAGGCCAGACACTGTGATTTGGGGAAAGCCTCGCTGAGGATCTGCTGCATCTCGTAACCCTGGCAAGTTCACCTGATACCTTTGCTAGAGGCAGGAGGGAGGGTGTTGCACAAAACTAGAGCAAATGTACGTATGGTGCAAGTATGAACAGTGTTTGAGGCATGTGGTCCAGTCTCTGAAATTCGGCTAAATCATCTCCAAAATCTGGATGTTGATCCATTTTTATGGAAAACAATAACCAGACAGTGAGCATCCAAGACAGGAAAGTCCGTGGCACCCATCGACTGAATATAAAAACCTAATGTAGCCACTGTATCATCAACAAAATCGATTTGTGTAGTCCTGTTTTGAACTCTCGACTTGAGTGTTTTGACCATCACCATACTGGTAACCAAACTTAGCGAAGATTATCCTGCTTTGCTGCCTGTTCTACTTACTACGGGAGCACACGTTACAAAATGAACAACCTTTTCTTTGAGATGCTCCCTTTAGTGGTCACCACTGCCGCCATCTCACCCTATCCCTACCATCCTCTTCTATCGCTCCAGCCCTCTGCATGTCCTCCTTCACCACATCCATGAACCTCCTGTGTGGTCTTCCTCTTTTCCTCCTGCCTGGCAGCTCCATCTTCAGCATCCTTTCTCTAGTGACATAGCTCATCTGCCATTTGTATAAGAACTGAAAAGCCTGACGGATGTTTTTTTGTTCCATAAAGATTTTATAATGTAGGTGCTCAGAGTTGTTCAGGATGGCTTCTAACATCTTTAGTGTGTATCCTTCTTTCACCTCCTTCAGCATGTCCAGTCTGGCTTCAATAACAGAGCCAGCTTTCCTCTAGCCTTCTTGCCTCCTTGTTCCTGATGCTGCCTCACCAGCAGGCTGCAGCACAGAACAGCACACTTGCCACCACAGACTGATAGAACATCTGCAGCATTGTACTAAAGATGCAGTTTTCTTAACAAAAAGAGGTGCTTTTTGTGCACTTCGTCTATATTCAGGGAAGTGTCTAATTTGTTGTCTAGGTGATGTACTCATTTCTAATCTTTTGCCTCCTGCCTTTTTATTTGTGCCACTCTCTTCAAACTATAACAGTTCTCACTACTGCTATGTAAACCTTCCTTTACCTTACCCTCATGCTGCTCCTGTCACATATCACCCCACTCAAGGAGACTCTCCCTGCTGAAAAGTGAAGAGAATGCAGGTTGAATATACAGACCTAAAACCCACAAGTTATATCAATCATCACTGTTTGATTGCAAATGAGTTCATCGGTACAATTTCCACTTTTATTTACAGTCTATAAACTCAGATATGCTTTTCAGTTCTTCAGTTTCATCTACAAGTTACCCAAAACTGCGATGTCATTTGTGTTTCTCACTGTGGTCTATTTCCTGACAGGTAATCTTGACTGGGAGGGGGATGAATTTACCTTTAATGCAGGAGCAGGCCTTGTGATCAGTAAGCTAGAAGATATCGACGACAGGAACTTCACCGTCGTGGAGCAGTTACAGGCTGCGTTTGAGCGGGACTGGTTTTCACAGTACACCATCCCCCTGCAGGCTAATAAATTCCTGGCTTGCAACAAGCACCAGATCAAACCAATGGTGTTACTCAAAGCCAGCCAGCTACGCGATGGACCACTGCCTATTCAGAAAGGGCAGCATAATAAAGGATCTATACTACCAAGAAATCATCACAAAGTTGTTGGACAGACACCGGACGAAACAAGGCACCGTAACGACAGACTGAGCAAACTTACTCGACAAGGCACTGCTAGTGGGTTAGTGCCAGTTATGGACAACTACCAAGAGAGGAGTCAAATGAAAATGAGTCGCTTTGACCAAAAACAGGTAGAAATAAAAGGTAACGCCAACAATCCAATGGAAGTACCCAGTCAGTCCGCTGAGAGCAGTGGTGGCAGAGAGATCGCCAATGGATTTGTGTGACCACAAAAATCATGTTTGAAGAACTTCTTTCCTCCAGTGGCAATGGACTTCCAACACTGGGTCTTTGTAGCAGTTTATTATTGTGATTTTATAGAAAGACACTTTTCAAATTTAGGTATCTGGTTTGCAGGACTTGATAAAAGGAAGAACTCAGGAAGGAAAGTAAATGCTCCACAGCAGGCTGGCACTTTTGATTCTTTACAAATGAAACCAAATCATTTTGGTTTAGAATTCTGATTAATAGGCTAATAATATTTTACAACCTTACAACTTATATATTATTTTTTTGTCCTTGTTTAGATCTCCCAGGAAAGGAAATAAATTGCACTGATTGCCTAAATATTGTATGTCACTTAAGCTAACATTCATAATTAATCACCCTTTAAAAGGAGGGATAACAGCTGCATGTGAAGAGGCAGGAGGCACGTTAGCATATGTAGCTACAGTCGCTACATCTGGCATTCAGAATTCACCACACACAGGTTACCACACACCTTAAGCTGTTGCAGATCTCTAACTGCCTCTGTGCTCTCAATGGTATTGAATATGTTAGCCTAAAGTAAACAGGTTTATGCTTTTCCCATAGTATTCACTCACACCAGAACATTATTTAAATTGCAAAATTCTTAAAAACAACAATTAAGCAGAGACTGAAATAAAAGTTTAATCGGCTTCCTGGAAACAAACAGCTTCATGTGGCTGAGCCAAGTAATGTATTGATCTCTAATTGTAAGCATTAGTTGTTTTAGGAAAAAAAAGCTGATGAAGTGCGCCTTTTAAGGGATTGCTCAAACCATGTCCACCATGTTTTATTTCCATTTCCAGAAGTATGAATATGGGTGCATTGTTCCACTGCATGACTGAATTAGATGATGCATTTGATGGCTTAGCATCCTCCATCAGCCACTACTTTCAATAAAGCAAGATGTGGTCTTTTATGGTGGAAGGAGGGGGAGCTAATGATCCAGAAGGGTCTTAAAAGATCATTATCGATAACCATAAACAAATCCTGGGATTAGAGGTGGATTGCATGGATATCTGTAGTATCCTTTCAAACCCAGCATTGTGACTTATTGAACACATACTGAAGTAGCGTTAAGACGAAAGGGGCCAGAGGGTCTCTGCTGTCAACCAAATCAATACAATGAATTTTTAACAGAGCTTGACAGAGGCAGTTGCTGTATTTTAACCTCAAGGACATGTTGGCCTGTAATGTCATGCCTGTGACAGAATATATATTCCCTTTATCTTGTGGAGATAGAGCTACAAATCTAGCATCTTTAGTTTATACTTGACTGAAAGCTTGAAGCAACATTTATTTGCATTTCGAATGATTGCATGTTTACACACTCTTTGCTACAAGTGTAACCTTTAGAAATGATTCTTGTGGGATTTATAATAATACAGAAGGTTTTTTTTCAACTTTCAAAGCCATTAACTGAGTAAAGTCAAAAACACCACCAGAGAGAAAATCGTAGGGATGTCTGTGTCTAAAATGTATATATGTGTTGCTATGGAGTGTTTAACATGACAGCGCCACATGTGTCATCAGTGTTACGTCTGATTTCAGTAGAGAATTAATTGACAAGTATTCTGATAATGTATTAATTACATAAACAGTAATTTTCTATCATTAATATATGAGGTGACGTTTCTTGATCCAACTAATAAAGATATTAGCAATTTAATCAGCAATGAAAACAAAACATTAGTTCCATCCCTAAAACAATATCTCGGGTTTGGTAATTTTTCAGGCTGTGTACCATTTGAAAAACGAATCTCTGTCGAGGTTCTCAGTCATCCACGCCGTGGTAGTCCTAAGCATGTTACGTGAAGGCAGCTGGATCTTTTTAAATTGGCACATGGATCAAAAGGAAGTCCAGTTTTCTTCATTTCAGGGGCTTAGGATTTCAAATGTTTGTTGGCCAATATCGAGTCAGTTGAAACTTGGGTAGCTGCTGCCATCTAGTGGATGTCACGAGGCAAGTTACTTGCTTTCACTTAAAAGTTGCTATTAAATGTTAAATGAAAAATTCAGCCTTGATCAAGCAACATGTTGGTTCACAGCTGCTGATTTTATGCACGTGTAACATGCATAACAGGCAGTTCCATGAGCATGTGTGTGTTTTATCAGATAACACTTAACTGACTCTATCCTGAGAGCGATTCTTTCACACCAGAATGTATAAACTATAAACAATAATAATACCATTTAAAAAAAAATTTCATTCTGAAAAGCAAAAAACTTTTTTTTACTACTTATGTGTACCCTAAGAACCTATACCTTTCTGTGCAAGACACAGCCACGTATCTATCTATAATAATTACTTCATAAAAGTATCCTTAAATGACAAACACAGTCGTTTTTTATTTGTAGCATTATGACAATAATGCTACAAATAAAGAGATTATGACAATAATAATATCTATGTGTAAAACACTGTGTCACCACACTGTAATGCTTATCTGCCAGCTGACCTGGAGTCAGATTCACTACTATACGCTGCTATAATCTATGATTGTCCTATGGGGAGGGCGGTAACGCTGGTACTGCATTCTGCCCAGGTTTTTATGGTTTTTGTGTTTTGTAACTATTCTGTTTTGGAAAACAAATCTTTTTCCAGTTACAGTGGGGATTATTTCAGCTCTGTACACAGTACAGAGTACACAGATGCCAAGATTTAAGTGGTTTAAAATCTGCTACATGCAACTTATAGAGTCAGAGCAAAATTTTAAAAAAACAAAAAAACAAACTGGAATGTTTCTGAATTGTGTGTTGTCTGCCTGTCCATTGCTCCAGCAAAATGTTCATTTTTTAGTGAAAACTCTGTAACAGATCATATTTTTCTTGTACACAGAAGGGCAGAACTGCTTATTTTAGCAAAACAAAGCACTATTACCGAGAGATACATTTCAAATACTGCCTGTAAAGCTTTTTAAATGTTGCCTACCTTTAGTATGTTTTTTCGGCATGACTGCTGCTTGCATGCCTTGCCTTTATGAGCTGTGCACAGTAGCTATGAGCCTTTCTTGAGATGATGCTAATAATGAAATCTTGTACCTTTAAAGATACAGAAGGAATGTATATTTATTGAATATCCTTGTCAATGCGCACTACTAAATTATGTGATCACTCGATTTTTACTATTAATAAAAAATAAGCATCTTAGCTTATGTTTCTCTGTGCGTTTGTGTGTATGTGTGTCTGTTTAGTGATCTGGCTTTCGTTAAGTAAAGTGGTTTACCTCAGAAGTTAATCCTTAGTACATCGCTGCACATTCAGGTTACACAGACAAGGCCCTGTGTAACCAGAATGGACAATCAAAGAAGCCTTACCACAGGATGGCGAATAACAATAATCATCATAATCATATTTAATAATTGCAATCATATTTACCATTATACCATAATAATTAGATTTGCCACAGGATGAAGCTAATGTGAGATTAAAATTAGTACCACGGCCAACTTAAAACATAATCTACGTACAGTAATGTGCAAAAGTCTTGAGTCAACTCTCATTTCTTTATATTTTGCTTCCAAGGAGCCAGACATTCGTCTAATTGTTAAAGTGGTCTTGAGTCATAGTTCTTCTTTTTGCACTGGCTTTTTTTTCTCACTCGTTTCAAATTCTTGTACCCGATTATTTTCAAAGGAACATTTTTGTCATTGTTGTTGTTGTTTCTTAAGCCACTTAAACCTCTGTTGTAGACAGACAACATACAAAGAACCAATTTAAGTTGTTTTGTTACCACTAGCCTGTTGCAAAGGTTCATCATTTGTTCCCATTTCTTTAAATCTATGAAAATTCCCAAAGATAACATAGTTTGATCAACACAAAAGAGTATTTTTTGGATGATCAATGTATTTCCCAAACTGCTAGTGGCTGAAAACATGACATAAGTTGGCAAAATGTGCAAGAGAACAGGAGGACAAATTAATTCCATCATCAGACCTTCAAAAAAAGAGAATAGTAAAGGCTGATTCCCAGCATAATATAAAGAAATGAGGGGTTACTCGAGATTTCTGCATAGTAATATTTTTAAATATTTAACACTCATACTATTTATTTCATTTTAACTTATATTTCTACTATATGTAATTTCATTTTTATGTGAAGCATAAAAACAACAAATAAAGGGAGTAGAATCTGAAAACGTTTGGTTCACCATACATTGCTTTTTGAGATAGCACACGCTAAATGGTAACAAAAAGTACAAACAAAAGACTCAGTAATCTATATACAATGAGCGAACGATGCAGAATTAACTTTTGTTTTATCTTGTTTTTGTGATATTTCCAGCAACTGCAGGTTTGGGACTGTGGGGAGTTTTTAATGCTTACTTTAGCGGCTTCTCCGTCTCGGTGCCAGTGGAGGGCTCTGCTTCGTCCAGGCAGAAGGAGCAGCTGACTGACGTAATGGTTACCTTAGCAACCAATTAGGCGTCACCACTCACCATTCTCAAATTCATGACTGCGCATTTCTCACCTTGTCCAGAATGGAAAAAGCAGCCTCCGAGACTCATGCGGACTAGTTAATGAGGGACGATAAACCAGATGTGTTTTCCCATCTGTGTGAGCTGTGCTGCACGCGCCGACCTGAAGAACAACACTGTGTCAGGGCTGCCGCTGCTGCCTTTGTTGTTGTTGCTGCTGCTTACGCCCGCCAGCTACGACCAACATGGCTGAGGACGACAGTGAATGGGTTTTAGAAAGCATCGTTGGCTACCTTGGAAGTCCCGAATGGGTCGTTCCTGTAACGGACTTTTTGGAAAACAAATGCACAGGTAAAAACAGGTTATGAGGTGATTTTAGTCTGAGACTTTAAGCCTCTCTGGAGCTGTGCACCGTTAGCGCTGCGGCTAAGCTAACGCTAACGTGTAACAGCGATGCTGTATGATAGTCTATCCACTCAAGTTTAGTACTAGACTTTCTCCTCCTGTACATTTACATATGATACGAGCGGAAACAGCGACAGCAAATCTTACGACACCAAATACAACAAACATCTGCATATAAGCGGACCTATAAACAGGTTTTACATGTTTAACTTTTCTGCGTGCTAAAGTCAGTGCATCTAGCTAAGTCTATAAAATATTTCCGTGGACACAATTCATTTCTGTCAACTGTGTGTTTTCAATATTTCAGTTTTTGACGACGAAGATGAGAATAAGTTGGCATACACAGAAATCCACGAGCAGTATAAGAAATTGGTGAGTTCAATTGTGATTACTACAATCTGGCTAATGTCGTGCATTGCCTCATCAGCATCAGTCAGTAGTAGTTTCATATTGCTGACTCGTCAGAATGGACTGCTGTGAGCTGCTTTGCTTTCGTAGGTGGAGAAGCTGTTGGAGAATTACATGCAGGAGGTTGGCATCAACGAGCAGCAGTTTTTGGATGCGTGTACTTCTCCCTTTGCCAAGTCTAAAGCTCTGGAGGTACTCTAAGCTTCCTGCTTGCACACCACTGTCATCCTGCCAGCTAACCTGAATTGAGAATCAGGGATAGGATTTGCTTACATAAGCCCAGTGTTGCTGGCATCAAGCCCACTGCTTGATGCCAACAACACGTTTTTAAAAAATGAGTTTGGAGGGGTTTCCATTTAATTTGAAACATTCACAGTCTTGCGTTATACAACATTCCAGCTGTCTAAGGCCATCTTTGCTGTGTTTTTTGCTGCATAGTTCATCAGATGTTTTCAATAGCTGACAGGTCTTGACATGTCAGGTACTTACTACTTTTCAGA